GCCCGCCCCCCGGTCCCCGGGGGAGCGAGGGCTGCGCGCCGCGCACAGGCCTGCCGTCAGCCCTCGCCAGCGGGAGCCGCTGTGAGGTAAAAACCGAACTGAAGTGAGGCAAAGGGCCTCGGGCCAGCCAGGCCCAGTCGAGGGACAGAGCCTGCCTTGTTCAGCCGTGGTAAACAAAAGCAGTGCATCTTCGCTGTGGTCTCACCGCACAGTGGCCTGTGTGTGCGTTGGGCCAAAGGAAAAACGCGTGGGTTGTTTCGCTGTGAGCCGTGCATGCGTGTGGTAGCCCCGTCCCAGCTCCCAGGATTTAGTGCACAGTTCTGACCTTGTAACTTCTGATGTGATGAGTTTGTGCCTTGATTTCTCTCTCGTCCGTGCCAAGTGAACGTGCTTCGTCTGAAAGCTCTGGAACTAAGTTGTCTGTTACAGACGTGCAAAAAGGGAACGAGCTTGGCTGCTGACCTGAAGAGGTGGCGAGTCCAGGAAAAAACGCCAGAGCCAGAGGGACGGACCTACAAATACATGCTGTGAAGTCTTCATCCAGGAGACAGGAAGAAGAGACGTTGGGACAGGGAGGAACTAAAAAGCCATGTACAACTTTGATAGGACAGTGAGTCTCAAAACTGCCGACAGGCTCATGCTCATAACTTTCAGTGATTTCCAAGCAAGCTGCCAGCTGACCATTTGATACTGTCAAATACAATGGCATTCTTTAAGGACCAGCTTATCACTGTCATTTCTACGGGGGTTGTATGTGGCTTTTTACTCTTTGTGCGGAAGAAAAGAGTATGCCCGTGTCATGTAACATCATCTTACGGAAGGCAAAATCTAGGCCAGTTCAGAACTAGAATTCAGCTGGGTGCATACATTGCGTATTTGGTTTCCTTGAATATAAATGATAAAAGTCAATTACGGCACATTTTCTTCTAGTATACTCAGTCCCTGATCTCACTGAAAGTTTCTGTGGTATTACCTCCTCTAATAATTCGCTTTCCCTTTTTAACGTCTCTTTCTTTCCAGGCTGCAACGTGGAAAACTTCACACAAGCATGTACTGAAGTGACGCTGAAAACTTCTCACAAACGGAGGAAGGAAGCAAACTGCAAAATAAAATTTTCCGATGCCTCCCAAATATATTCATCGCCTAATACACTACCGGCATCCAGACCACTTAAAAGGCTGGGAGGGTAGTGTGCTATGCTCGTTGTGGTCACTACCTATCTAAGACTCTGGTCATCAAGATCTCTGTGGGCAGAACCCTGCAAATGCAAAGGATTCTACTGATCTAGGTGGGAAATCCTTGTATTACTAAGTTTCAGCATTTTGTCAGGGCCGGGTTTAGTTGGACCTGCAAAACTTGCCAAACCCCTGACTGATAAAGCATGCCATCAGTTGACGAGATTTGGGAGTCCCATCTACCTTAAGACTCCAAACGTCACGGCTTATCTAATGATGCCAGGCATTTTCACTTTTGTTTGTCTTCCATTATCATTAAACGGGTTTTAGCATGGTCTGGCAAGAAACACTGCTGTCCTGTGGCGTGCCCCTTTTCACCCGTCTGTTCAGGAGTGTCCATTACATTCAACAGTGTTCCTGCTACCCTTGTTAATTTTTAGCAAGTCCTGTCAGAGGCATCCCCACCCAAAACCTGCTAGCATCTCAGATTTGCATCTTATTACCATTTGAGCATCCTCCTTTCCTTTTTCTTCGCTACATGGCTGTACGCAGTCGCCACACATTTGCATGTTAATGCGCTCAGGTACAGGTGTCAGCCTGTGACACGTGGGACCTTGGAAGGGCTGAAGTATCATTTACCTACGTCCTGTTTACATGTTCCATTTCGCATATTCACACCGTGCCACACACAAATATGTGTAGGGTGTAGTAACACAGGCGTAACCACAGGATCCTAAATTAAACAGAGATGTAAAACACTAAACTTAGTAAACATACCTCCAAATAATGGACAAAAATACCACTAATTATACACAAAACGGGATTTTTACAACTGCTGCAAGACCTTCCCTTCAGGGTTGGTTTACTTTTCAGGTTACAAAGCTTGCCACCTCTGCAAAAGGCATAGTTTTCCTTTGCTGATTACTTTGGTGTTCCAAATTCTGAGAGTAGCACACAGACCAGGAAGTAGGTTTTGTTTCATTTTCATGCACAAAGAACTAAAAGTGATAGAGGTGGTTTTGCTGTAGTTACTTCAAAAATTCTCGTAGTTGGGTTTAGATTTATCATTTTCAGCTGAAATTCAAATCATAGCACATTCTGTGTTCAAGGCGGGGGGGGGGGAGACTATTTGCAAAATCTTCACCAATTAGAACAAGGCTAAGGAAGTTAGTCATTTAAGTCAAATCTGTGAGGTCAGACTGTCTGCGTGTGTTTCACTTTTCCTACGTTTGGAGTAGGATGTAAAATGCTTCATGTTTAACTACATATGTTTTAATAGTTTTTCGCTTTCTCTTTGTGGAGGCCCAGCCTTAAAGAAAAACATATTTCTGTTAAAAAATACGCTTTTTTCTTTAACTATATTGCACAAAGAACACTCTTGACAGGAACTCTTTCATTATTTATAGTCATTCTCTGAAACCTGTTTCTTTTGAGTGATGTGAGTGAATACCTCCTTCCCAGAGGAGAAGAACAAGCACCTGTAAATACAGCTTTGCATACGATTTGGCTCCTGAAAGGACACAATTCTAATACATCCACTTTGGGGGGAAAAAAAAACACACAACAAAACCCCCAACAAAACTAGGAAAAAAAGCCATCTCTTGGCTTTGAGGGACCCAATGGTAAGGGTCAGTTTGTCCCCTTATAGACATTCACTTGGTAACCATTCCCCTGAGAGACAGTAGCGAGCACCTACGCCATAATGCATTTCTGCAAAGACTGCTTTTGGAGCATAGACCTGAGAATGCAAAATACACTTCCCCAGACACTGAATTCGTACCCTGAACACTGCTCCTGGTGGAAGATGCACTTCTTTAACTTCTTTTCTAACAGCCCTCTGTGTTCTTGATCAGATACAAAATGCTGCATCATACAGCAATCCCAAAGAAAAAAATTTTAAAAAAACCTAAACCCCACAGAAAAAAAATCCTGTGAGAACAAGCATCAGTTCAATTGCTGAGCAACTGAAAAGCACTCAGACAGTACAGTGACTGACGTGGTACAAGGACTTCTGTGAAACAGAGAGGAATAAAATCAGGTAATGCTCCCCGCTCTGCTCCATCGTAACTGCCCTATTTCCCCTCCAGTGCATTCTCCAGGGGCCAGGTAAGCCGCTGCTTTCCAACAGCTCTCTGGGATTCCCTCCAAGCGGTACGAGGAGAAGAAGGTGAAGGAGTCATCTGTACAGCTGACAGCGGGCAGGAATTGTTCTCTGCCTGACAGATTAAAAAAAAAGGGGGGGAGGGGAGGAGAGGGGCGTACAGTAGCAACGAAACTTGTATTACAAAAAATGACGTAGTGGTACTGCTGTATTGCTTACCTATATTGGTAGCAGCATAGATCAACTGCATATAGCGCGTAAGATTTTCATCTGTATCTTTCAAATTGAGTTATTCTGGTTTTGTTGGTTTCAATAGTTTCTGATAGGCTTTCTGCACATAGAGAAAGATTAAGTAATTCTTTTTATTCTTTCTTTAATGAAGCTGATTGCCTCATGTGAACAGCAATTCCTGCACTGATCTCCACTCTGACCGTGGCTCTGTTAAATGGTCCAAGCCTTCAAACCCTCTCGTCCATGTGGCTCAGCACAGGTTGGTGTGGATCTGATCTGGAGATGGAGTAAATGCATTTCTTGCCAAGTTAGTTGAGTAATAACTGAGCAGCAGCGTGGGATTTCCTTTTAAGGAACATGCTCCTTTCTCCTACTATAGGATAAAACCTAGCGTGCAGCCAACAGTTATGTAGCTGGAAAAAGCAGGCAGGCAAGTGAGTGCAAGTAATTGTCTTAAGTGTAGAACTTCTTGAAAATAAATTTTTAAATACAGCCCACTGATGGGAAATGGCTTGGTATAAACAGCATTTCAGGGAACCACAAAATTACTGTCACTCTGTGACTTTCAGAGCTTTTTGCATCGTGTCGGAGTAGACAGATACATATGCTAGCACCATCTGGTAGGAAAAGTGTCAGTAAGAAAAGTCTGAGGTTCTCCTTCCTTAACAAAATCTGTTAACAGAATGAAAGAAAACAAAATTAATAAACCTGAAACCTGAGCTGAAGGAGGACCTTGAGGTCTAGACACTGCAAACCTCAGCTTGCAGCGTTTGCCAGTGGCCCTGCAGTCAAAACTCCTAGTGGTTGCAGTGTAGGTGCTTCTGGAGTCCATAAGTATCAGTCTCCACTGAGTTACGCTTTACTTCCTAAGCAAATTTTGCTTGCACAGGTTTTTTTTTTGTTGTGTTTTCCCCTAAGACTATTTCATCTTCAGAGCAGGATGTCCTCTGTGTTTAACTGTTGCCTGAACACAATGATACGTGATTTCGTATGGGTTCTGGTTACACTGTTATACAAATTGAATGTATTTGTATTCATAATAAAGAGGGGCTAAAGTTGTGCCTTCCTGGGTCTACCTATCACCAGGGAAATAGATTGTAACTCCCCCAAAAACGTATTTGAATATCTCTTGGCAGTAGGGAAGTCTACTAACTTGAAAACCTGTTACAACAGATTTTGGAGGGACCAGGGTTCGTTTTCTTTCTTTTGAAAAATCTAAGCAAAATCACCTCAGCCTTTCTTACATTATCAGGGAACCACAAAATTACTGTCACTCTGTGACTTTCAGAGCTTTTTGCATCGTGTCGGAGTAGACAGATACATATGCTAGCACCATCTGGTAGGAAAAGTGTCAGTAAGAAAAGTCTGAGGTTCTCCTTCCTTAACAAAATCTGTTAACAGAATGAAAGAAAACAAAATTAATAAACCTGAAACCTGAGCTGAAGGAGGACCTTGAGGTCTAGACACTGCAAACCTCAGCTTGCAGCGTTTGCCAGTGGCCCTGCAGTCAAAACTCCTAGTGGTTGCAGTGTAGGTGCTTCTGGAGTCCATAAGTATCAGTCTCCACTGAGTTACGCTTTACTTCCTAAGCAAATTTTGCTTGCACAGGTTTTTTTTTTGTTGTGTTTTCCCCTAAGACTATTTCATCTTCAGAGCAGGATGTCCTCTGTGTTTAACTGTTGCCTGAACACAATGATACGTGATTTCGTATGGGTTCTGGTTACACTGTTATACAAATTGAATGTATTTGTATTCATAATAAAGAGGGGCTAAAGTTGTGCCTTCCTGGGTCTACCTATCACCAGGGAAATAGATTGTAACTCCCCCAAAAACGTATTTGAATATCTCTTGGCAGTAGGGAAGTCTACTAACTTGAAAACCTGTTACAACAGATTTTGGAGGGACCAGGGTTCGTTTTCTTTCTTTTGAAAAATCTAAGCAAAATCACCTCAGCCTTTCTTACATTAGTCAAACATGGGAAACAGCCCACTTCCCTCATGTACACAAATATTTCTGCTTTCAGCCTTGGAGTTTCCAAACATTTAGAGTGACTCAGAAATTGACGAGAAGTACTCTAGTGCAAAATTAAAAGTTTCCAGCCCAGGTTCATGTAGATACCTTCTCCAGAACTTCATGCTGTGCAGTGTTCAGGACTGGATAATGACTTGAATGGACCTGGCATCAGGTTGTGGAAAATAAGTTTGTTATTTGAAATAGGTATTTTTACATGTATATTTCACATCTATAAGATTTTGTTTCTTACGTTTCAAGGTATCTGTGGACATTTAGATGGAAACCTCTGTTAAGCATTTTTCAAATTAAGGTTTCTAGAAGTTAAATATGCACTGATTAATGATACATGATTTTAAATGCAATGAACTGTGGCTCTGTCATGGTGCTTTTGCTTTGCATTTTTATGGAAAGTTAACTTCCTGAACTTCTTCAGCAGCACTTACCTAGCTGTGAAAGTCAGGAGGCTGCAAAAATTAATGTTGATATAAATTCATTCCAGTCAGTAATTTCTTATCCTTCTGGGGTTTTTTTATTATTATTTAATCTGTTCATGTAATTTAATCTGCCTTAGCCAGTGTGACAGGATGCAAGTGTCATACAACTAGAAACTAAAAGGACAAAAGACAAAAGAACAGGGTAACTAAATCCCTTTAAGGTCAACTGTTGGAACTTGGGAATTTCATCACTGGAGAGCTCCACTTTAATGATATTTTTAATGGGTCTTTTTTTTTTTGCACTTCTATGTATGATTAAGATAGAATTACTACACTACTTGAATGCATGGAATATGGAAGTTAATGTGATAAAACTGAACCAAGTCTATCTTGTACATTTTCCAAACTGCCTACTGTATTCACTTCAATCACCAGAGACCTTGAAGAGGAAGAACCTTTAATACACACACAAATACGTGAATAAGAACGTTTTATGAACTGTTTCTAAAACTCTTCAAATTGCTTACAGTAAATTAAAAATAAAACATTTCATTTGTTTTTAGTTCATTTTTCCACTTGGTATTCACATCTTAGTATTGGGAAGTGAAGCAAAGACGCTGAGTTTCACTTTTGTTTCTACTCAGTTTTACTTCTGGTTGACAGTACAAAGACATAGCAAGCTGTGTTTTGATTCACAGCTCTGGAAGAGGATGAGCAGAGTTTAAGCTCAGAAACATATTTCAGTTTGAAACAAAATTATAAAAGTATGCATTGTGCTGATTTTTTGAAAGCGCTAAGTAATTATTGATCAAGTGAGGGTCAGTATGAGATGCTTTGCTTTATCAATATTTCTGTTAAATTAAGCTACTTCAGGAAGCATCTCGATATGAATGTTGGTATCAAATGTGCACACTGGCAAAACTGTAACACCAAAACATTTTAGGCTAAAAATAAATTATTAAGTATTTTTAGCATAGCTGTTTTGCTTTTGAATCTTATGGCCAATTTCAGTTAAAACTAGCAGGAGCACAGGGATTTCACAAAGAAGTAAATTGCCCTGTCTGGATTCAAAAAGGTACCCTGCTAGGTAGCTGTGTAAGCCAGCTAAGAAACACTTCTTATAGAGGTCTGTCCTGCAGGCCACCAATGGGGTAACTTGCTCTAAATTAATTAATTGTTAGGTCAGGCTCTACCTAGTTTTAATTAACTAGAAGCTTTCACTGTTGCCGTGGAATTACATTGGTACAAACAACATCAAACCTTTGTCAGTCGCTCTTCTTTTTCTCCTTTATTTTTGGACTCCAGTCACATCAGTGAGCTCTCTTCTTTGTAATTAAAACAAGGAATCAAATTCAGCTGTTTTCATTTCCTATTTCCAAAAAAAATGGCACCCAGCAACTATTACGTTTAAAAAAATCAGTTCCTCATTCCACTTTTTGTAGCGTAATGGAAATACACCATGCTGGAGCTCTCAGGGAGAGCATTTCAGGATCTAGAAATAGCTTCCACAAACTCCTCTTCTTGGAGGAGGAAGATTATTTTAGATAATCAGTTCCAGCTAGTGTTCCCCCACACCAAGGCAAACACGCGAAATGAAGGATGAAATTTCTCCCTTAGGCAAAGGGATGTGTATCACTAGCTATCGAGCCTCCTAACCTGCCTTCTGTGGGATTATAAAAGATACCACTGAGGTAGTTTTATGTGAGGGAGGAACAGTAGTTAACTCGGTTTGATCCTTGCAGGGAGTAGCTTCAAAGTATGCCATTCCCAAGGTAAATTTCATATGAAGGACCAAACCAATTAGAAGTGTTTACCTAATTGCTTGAAAAAGTACAACCAGTTCTCATCCACAGAAATGAAGGGAGGCTGTTTTTCATCATTTTTTGCTGAACGCCCGATCCAGTGCCAAGTGCTGTCGAATCTGTCGGGGCCGGAGAAGCCACGAGAATGCCTCGCACCCCTGGTGCCACCTTTGACACAGCAAGACCTGGGGGGCAAACCAGGTCCTCTGAGATGAGCCCTGTGAGTCCACCCCTCCCAGTTTTGAATGTCTTCACTTCTGCTTACTCTGCCGCTACGCAGTGGAGTCAGCCATAGGTGGAAAGCCTGGAGCAACCAGCAAACCCAGCTGGAGATATTTTTGGTCAGCAGAAATTGTGAAAACGGGAGGCAGTTTTCTGTGGAAGAGAGTCTGCAGCAGGCAACGGAAATAAATGCTCTGCTGATCTGCGGACAGGCTACCGTTCACTGAATGGCAGAGGAAGCAAGCTGAAAAGATTGCAAAGGAGGCTGCTTTTACTTGGAACCGCCACTTTTCTGCTTCCCTCCAAAAGTGAAACTAACGTATTATGCCACACACGCAGCTTGCCGAGTGTAATATTTGGCTAGCAGCTGCAGTAACACCAGCAGAGGGGATTGTTGAGAATGGTGGGTGAGATACAGCTACTGAAATCCTTAGCATCTGCATTTCTTGGTTTGTTATATGAGCTAGTGCTGCAAAAATATTCTGGCAAGGGTTGTGAATTTTTTTTTATTCCCTGTAAAATGTTAGCGGGATAAAGAACAATATCTTAAAATAGTTTTAAGTATTTTAAACATAAGGAGATATTTGACACACTAGCACAGTTACATTCGTTTCTTCCATCATGTGCTTTTCTCTCTCAGTGACTTTTTTCCCCACTTTTTTTCTAACTTGTACTCCCTGCCCTGCTTCTTTGAAACGTAAGGAGCTAAAAAGTAGTATCTACTCCCCAGAGCTCCTGATCTTAAGCCAACGCTGCCTTTGTGCTGGAAATAGTCTTTGTAGTAGCAGTGGTAGACACCTTATTAAATGAAGCATAGTCAAGGGCTCTCACCAGTGGAAGGTGAACGAGAGAAAAACCCACAATATTGCTAAGTAAACACAATGCTAGGTCTGCTTCCTTACCAGGGGGTCCTAAAAGAATACAGTCTCTCAGCTTTGGAAGAGTGGAGCTGTGTGTCAAGATTTTCTCTTGTGCAACCCACAGGCCCAGACACTTTATTAGAACATGCCCATTGTCCATTTAGTAGCATGATGTGCCACCGGTTTTAAAGCAGCCCCTACATTTTAATGCCAGCCAGCAAGAAACTTTGAGTGTTAGTAAACGGTTTGCTTTCTTGCTCTGCTTTAAAACTCAGAGGATTCAGTTGGAAGAGCATTGCTTTTCCTCTGTGTGTCAGATAAGGCTTTCTGATCCCAAAACAGAAATCTTTTTCCTTTCAGGTCATTCATGTGTTACTCATGTGGTGGAAACATTGCTGGATCTCACAAGGCTCTCCAGCACTGTAAGAACCAGGACCTGAAAGCTGACCAAGTAAAATAAGTACTTTTGTTTTTAAACAGCAAGTGATAAAATGCTAGAACAAATTCACAAAAATCCATAATGGAAATACCATGTCTCAGTTTTCCTGGTGAAGACTGGAGGCCCTTCTGAAAATTGTCATTTCCCTTGAAGAAGGGAGAATGTACTCATATATAGGAGGTCAGACTCTGTGTAATTAGTAATACCTCTTGGTCCCAAACTCTCTGTCTTCCAGATAGCAAGCCTTCAAGGAGACCTGTGAGATGGAAGAGGTGAGGACAATGCTTTGTTTCCACAGCAGGGACTATAGGGCACATTTAAGAAGAACTCCAGTGTATCTACTTGCTTTTTTATTTTATAAACCCTGGGTGAAAGTCCCTGCAGTGAGGCAGATCAGTGACTGCTGGACAAAAGAGAGGGAAGTCATCTGGGTGAGTGGCCAGGGAGACAGCCTGCAGAG